AAGCAAGGTCAGAGGGCTCCATGACCTGCCAGGTGTTGGTGTTGGGGACATCTCCTGACTCTCAGGTGCTGTGGCAGGACTTCCTCTGTCTACCTCACACTGCTTCTGTTTTTTTTTTTTTTTTTCCAAACTTAGTGTGTGTACAAACATGTATCAGTTGGGATGTGGAAAAATATGGGAGTATTAATGGAAATCAGATATGTGGAACATGACTGGCAGCTATAAAGACAGATAGTCTGATAAGTATGGACCTTTGAAGAAGCATAAGGAGTCTAATGTGTTAGTCGCAATATTGTAAACAGTGGGCCAAATGAGTAGCCTTCACTAGGTGACCTTGTGTATTGACATATCCTAAATCTTCAGTCCAAACTGTAGAGATTTTTTTTTCACTAGAAGTTTTTTTCCTCCTGTTTTTATGTGTGCATATGTATTTTATATACATGGTTGTATATGTGTATGCATACATGCTCATGTTTGTGAGCGCAGGTGCACACGTTCCACGGGGCACATGTGGAGGTCAGAGGACAACCTCAGGTTTCAGTCCTCACCCTCTGCCTTGCTTGAGACAGAGTTCCTTGTGATTCTGCAACTGTGTATAATAAGCTAGCTGGCCAGTAAGCTTCCGGGGATTTTCCTGTCTGCCTCCCATCTTGTCTTTAGAAGAGCTAGAATTACAGGCATGCACTGTGGCACCCCCTTCTTACTTGGATTCTGAGGTATCCAAACTCAGCTCCTTGTGCTTGTGTGGCCATCACTTTACCCATGAGCCTCCTCTCAGCCCCCTAGGAGATCTTTAAGCAAAAGTATTCCCACGGTTGTGTAAGAGCAAGGGGTGTTTTCTCAAAGTGTGATTTCTCTTCCACCACAAAAGCATGGCAGCCAGACCAAATGACACTGAATGACCTTCAGAATGCAGAAAGACAGTGAGTGAGTCTTAGATTTTAAAGATTTTTCTCTCCTCCAAGAACATGCTGGGGACAGTGCACTAACCCTCTCTGGGTCTTACTAATATTTAAAAAGAACTACTCGGGTTTGCTTTTTACTTCATTCCGTTTCTGTAAAGAGACGAATAAAAAAATGTTAGGCTGGAAAGGTGCTCCTGGATATCCACAGTCATCCAACTTAGATGTTTGTTTTTAAGGTAAACTATGTAACTTCATGAGCCGATGCCAGGCCTCAGCGGTACTGACGTGAGGCCTTTTCCAAGCATCTTACATCTTTGTTGTCACGTCGAATAAAAGCTTATGAAAGGCAGCAACCAGGGAGGCAGTCTGATACATCGTCTTTTTGAAAACAAGCTTTCTCCTTTTTAAGTGGAATTTTATCCCCCTTTTGGCATTCGGAAATGTTTTGTTCACAACAAGAACCGTTGTACCATATTAGGCAACATCTCTCCTCCTCACAGCTGGAAATGAATACGAGGGCTAAGTTCACAAGTTTGATTCCCTTTAAAGACATGTTTGATTGCAAAGCCCTGTCCACCCTGTTTGATATCCTCCTCCGCCCGCATGACTGAACTAAGCTCGGGGACAGCCTGCTTCCTAGGCATCTTCTAACACAGAGGTTGTTCTTTGGGTCAACTTTGCCACCTAGTGGCCTGATATGATCTTCCCATTCATGAAGACATAGCTGTGGAGTGCTGTCATGAACTATGACAGAAAACAGACACTCATGTCCAAAGCAGAGACCCAAAACAAGCCCTGAAAATGTTGTATTCTAAAAAAGAAGAAAGGCTAGGTAGCCGGTCTTTCAAAAACATGGTTGCAGACTGCTAAGGTTCCCATGATCATGATAAGAAAAAGAATAATGAACATGGAAGGAGAACTAGAGGCTGGAGAGATGGCTTGTGGATAAGGGCAGTTGTTGCTCTAGCTCAGGACCTGGGTTCGATTCCCAGCATCTATGTGTTGACTCACAGCCATCTGTAACTCCACTTCCAGGGGATCCGATACCTTCATCTCACCCCCATGGATGCCAAGCACACAGATCACGCACATACACACAAGCAAGACACACAAATGGAAACAAGTTCAGTAAAAAAAAAATTCTAAAGAAATAGAATTAATCTAGACTTCTAGGGAGCAGGAAGTAATCTAGACTTTCCAATTAGTTTACAATTTTAAAAACTGAGAATTTTGTCTCACTTTTCAGAATAGATCCTAGGAGTGTGGTGTTTTGCAGACAAGCAGAATAAAAGGAACTAACAGAAAATAACTGACATGAGCCTTATTTCTAAATTTCTTACATTCTTTCATACCTAATTGGTTAACTGAACAAATCCAGTTGTTTTTAATTTACATAATAAGATATGACTGTCTACAGGAAAGGGTTTCTTGTTGCCTGCATGAGTCTCTGAATTTTAAAAAGTTTTTTTTTTTTTTATTTCTTCACTCTCAGTTATGGAAGCACAGAGGCAGGGACTTCCTGGATTCCATAGACCAATCACAGCGGCTTACAGCCAGACGTGGTTTTAATGAGATGTTCTGATGCTGGCTATAACCAAATTAATTTTTCTTTACTTCCAATCGATTTTCACTTTTTAAAAACAAATTTCAAGAGCCAGTGGGATGGATGTAAAGGCACTTGGTTCCAAGCTTTATAGCCTGAGTTAGATTCCCAGGACCCTCATGGTAGAAAGAGAGAACCAACTCCCCCAAGTTGTTCTCTGACCTCCACACATGCACCATGGCATATGTACCCACAACACATATATCACACATACAAGAATAATAATAAATAATAAACAACTGTAATAAAAAAATTTAAACAATTCCTTTTTGTATAGTTGACATTCACAACATATTAAGAGAGTGAATGGTTTCTATAGTGACACGAATTTATATATGTTACTGCAGATTATTACATGTGTGGTAAGAGCTGCTCAAGTCCACTTGTTTTAACAAAAATTTCTAATACAATTTTTTAACTATAATCCTCAAGTTAAATGTTAGATATCAAAACTAGTCTAGACTATCCACTTGCTACTTTAACCAAATAGATTAATCAAGAACCATTAGTTGTGGGTAATCAAAGCCTTCCTTCAATCGCTCAAGAAACAAAGGGAACTTTTGGTTATATAACCAAGGTCAAGGCAGTTCTGTTAACTTAGGAATAACTATATCTAGTTTTGATATAGTTATATATCAGACTGTATCTGTCTCTTAGGATCCCATTCCATCTTGCTCCTGCCCCCCATCTTTCCTTTGCCTTCACTTATAGCTCAGATTTTGCATACAGATACACAGGTGGTAAGCAGAATCCAGCACCCCCAAAGATGATAGACTTTCTCTTTTTCCAGCATCCACATGAATTCACCAAACTGATCATCTTTGCTTGTATATGTATCAAGTCCGTTACTGTGGTCTAGGGCTCAGGGTCAGGTGGCAAATGCCTGTCTCAAAACATGCCGGAAAGTGTCAGGCTGGACAAAAGAACAGCTGAAAGAGTGACAAATCACAGACATCTACTATGTCACCCCTTAACAAGAAAGAAACAACATGGCAGATAAGAAGCCTTGGGATTTCTGGGTATTATGTTTATTTGTAATGAAATCAGCATGGCTGTCATAAGAAAACAAGATACCATAATACGATCAGTCCCCATGAGACAGAGCCCTGGCCCATGCCACAGTGGCAAGGGGCCCTACAAGTTGCCATGGATGTCAATGTGTGGTATGGAGTGGGGCTGGGGTTGGTGAAAGATGGGCTATAAACAGGGCTGCCATGCAAACCTGGCAGAAAAGAAGGAAAACTTAGCTACTGTGACCAAGAACCTTTGCAGAGGACAAGACGCTGGGAAGATTAGGCTCTTTAGAAATTATTTCAGAAATGAGCATGCTACCGAATGTTATTTTAAAAAAAAACCAGTACATTACATATTTCAAAAATGTTTAAAGACACGGTGTTACAAGCTAAGGATGTAACTAAGTTAGCAGAGTGCCTTCTTACCATGCAGAAAGCCCTGGTAGGCTGCCCAGGCCCAATTATACTAAGTGTGCTGACTCATGCCTGTAATACTTACACTCCAGAGTTAGAGACAGAAGGGTAAGAATTCAAAGACATCCTTGGCTACATAGCATGTTTGAGACCAGTTTGAGCTACATAAGACCCTGTTTCTAAATAAATAAGGATGAAAATAAAGAGGCAGTATGATATGAAATGATAGACACTATTCTCTCTCTTGCTTTGGGTTGGCTTGGATCATTCCAGTAAGGCTTAAATAGTTGGTATCACCTTCAAGTTGCTTATATCTGAAGTCTCAGATGTCTAAAATGTTCATCATTTTATCAGGTAGATAAAATGCAAATAACTCACATCCGTTTATCAAGCAGGATGAAGGTAACTCTATGGCTGGATAATTGCCATATAAGCATTTGATCTTTCTCCCCTGTGAGAATGAGAGAAGTAAGTAAATCAGAGGAGTCCAGGCTGTTTTGTTTGATGTCAGTGTTCCATGAAAAGTACGTTCACATGTGAGGGAAAGCACCAAGGCCGAGTCCTCTGCTAATTATTCTGCCTTGAACCAATCAATCCTGGCGTGCCCTTGACTCCTGCCCTTCACACTAGAGAATTCACTTGATCACAGAAAGCTGCTTTGAAGTTTGTGTCTTGTAACACATATCCTAAATGTAAGCCGTACAAAACCAAGTGTGGTACACGCCTCATTCCAGCTCTGGAGGCTGAGGCAGAAAGGACACGAATATGAGGGCTAAGGAGTGAGTTCCAGACCTGCTTGGGTTACAGACTGAAACCCTCCCTCAAAACAGAAATGTAGACAGGAAAGATTTGTGGAGATGAAGGGGCAGGTAGACAGGAGTAGGAGAAAATTAAGAGAAACTGGGGTTGATAGTATTTAGTATGAATTATACGTAATGCTCAAAGATCAAATTTAATCTTTAAAAGAATATATATATATGAAAATACATATGTAAGCTCCCCAAAGAAAACACCAAAAAAGGACAAAGATCTTTCCTAACTTCATCTTTTCTCTTTTCTCCCCAGACTATGTCAGAGAGTCACAATGACCTTGCACAGTAACAGTACAACCTCGCCTTTGTTTCCCAACATCAGCTCTTCCTGGGTGCACAGTTCCTCAGAGGCAGGGCTGCCCTTGGGGACAGTCACTCACTTGGGCAGCTACAACATTTCACAAGCAGCTGGGAATTTCTCCTCAAACGACACCTCCAGCGACCCTCTGGGGGGTCACACCGTCTGGCAAGTGGTCTTCATTGCATTCTTAACAGGCTTCCTGGCATTGGTGACCATCATTGGCAACATCCTTGTCATTGTGGCATTTAAGGTCAACAAACAGCTGAAGACAGTTAACAACTACTTCCTCTTAAGCCTGGCCTGTGCAGATCTGATCATTGGGGTCATTTCCATGAACCTGTTCACCACCTACATCATTATGAACCGCTGGGCACTGGGAAACTTAGCCTGTGACCTCTGGCTTTCCATTGACTATGTGGCTAGCAATGCTTCTGTCATGAATCTGCTGGTCATCAGCTTTGACAGGTACTTTTCCATCACAAGGCCACTCACCTACCGAGCCAAACGAACAACAAAACGAGCTGGTGTGATGATTGGTCTGGCTTGGGTCATCTCCTTTGTCCTGTGGGCTCCTGCCATCTTGTTCTGGCAATACTTTGTAGGGAAGAGAACTGTGCCACCAGGGGAATGCTTCATTCAGTTCCTGAGTGAGCCCACCATCACCTTCGGCACGGCGATTGCTGCCTTCTATATGCCCGTCACCATCATGACTATTTTATATTGGAGGATCTATAAGGAAACTGAAAAACGTACCAAAGAGCTGGCTGGGCTACAGGCCTCTGGGACAGAAGCCGAGGCAGAAAACTTTGTCCACCCCACAGGCAGTTCTCGAAGCTGCAGCAGCTATGAACTACAACAGCAAAGCATGAAACGCTCATCCAGGAGGAAGTACGGTCGCTGTCACTTCTGGTTCACCACCAAGAGCTGGAAGCCCAGTGTCGAGCAGATGGACCAAGACCACAGTAGTAGCGACAGCTGGAATAACAACGATGCTGCTGCCTCCCTGGAAAACTCTGCCTCCTCCGATGAAGAGGACATTGGCTCCGAGACCAGAGCCATCTACTCTATTGTGCTCAAGCTTCCAGGTCATAGCACCATCCTCAATGCCACCAAGCTGCCCTCCTCCGACAACCTGCAGGTGCCAGATGAGGAGCTTGGCACTGTCGATGTGGAGAGAAATGCCAATAAGCTTCAGGCCCAGAAGAGCATAGATGATGGCGACAGTTGTCAGAAGGACTTCTCCAAGCTTCCCATCCAGCTAGAGTCTGCCGTGGACATGCCCAAGACCCCTGACACCAACTCCTCGGCAGACAAGACCACGGCCACTCTACCTCTGTCCTTCAAGGAAGCCACACTGGCTAAGAGGTTTGCTCTGAAGACCAGAAGTCAGATCACCAAGCGGAAAAGGATGTCACTCATCAAGGAGAAAAAGGCAGCCCAGACCCTCAGTGCCATCTTGCTAGCCTTCATCATCACATGGACCCCCTACAACATCATGGTCCTGGTGAATACCTTCTGTGACAGCTGCATCCCCAAAACCTATTGGAATCTGGGCTACTGGCTGTGCTATATCAACAGCACCGTGAACCCCGTGTGCTATGCCTTGTGCAACAAAACGTTCCGAACCACCTTCAAGATGCTCCTCTTGTGCCAGTGTGACAAAAGAAAGAGACGCAAACAGCAGTACCAGCAAAGACAGTCAGTCATTTTTCACAAGCGAGTGCCCGAGCAGGCCTTGTAGAAAAAGGGTTTGTCCGTAGCAGTGACCACACACGCACAGCAGCCCACAAAGCCTAGCAGGAGTCTGGCGCAGGTGGGAGGCCATTCCTGATGGTGATAAAAGGGGGTTTTATCAACCACGCAGGAGAGAAGCTGCCTGTTTACTGATCCATTGAATAAACTGATGTTGGTCAAATGCCAATTCAGCAGGAAAGAAAGAAAAACATACTGCTGAATATAAAGAAATATATTCCGAAATAGACTTTTAAGTGTTTTTTTTTTCTTAAAGAGAAAAAAAAATATATTGTCTTGAAGCAAGTATCCTCTGAAATTGGTTTGCCTAGGTCTTTTAATTCCCATTAGCTCTGAAATCACAGGTGAGCCTCGCTGCACTAGTTGTCATGTGCTCTTCCCAAGGGTCCCAAAGTGTCCATCCAGACCCCACGTGAAGCACGGCAGGCTTGGAAATCCGTGGTTCTGAGTCATTTTGTACATTGCAAAGCTGACACCTCTTGTCCCAATCAGCTTCCATCCCCTTCTGGTGTGTTGTTAAACTCTATTTGTGGATTTGATTCTTGGTTCTTGCAAAGTACTGTTTTGTGCAGTTCAAGATTCATACAAATAAAATCGCATATGAGTACATGCATACCTATCTATGTGTGAGTTGAGCACGCACACACATAGTGTATATAACATGATGGGGAACACTGAACTGGCAGATTGTTCCTACCATCTATGCTGTCAGTACTTTGGGAACTGAAATTCTCTAGGATCCTAATATGACATGAAAGTGAATTAAGCCCTGTTCAATGTTGGGTTTGGGCTTGGGTTTTTTGACACTGGAGCTGTTTTCCACAAATCACCCTGATGAAGAATAATATCCAGCACAGAGAAGTCAGGCCTTCTCCGCAAACCTGTGCTAGACGGGACAGTCTCGAGGGTCAGTCAGCACCACGTCTTGACTGGACTCTGAGTGCACACTGTCTCCTTGGCTGTTAGCTCTGTCAACGGAGCTCATCTAGGGCCCCTCTGAGCTCAAAAGAATGAACTTATATACATGTTTGAATTTAGTCGTCCAAATCTGAATGTTTCAAAACAAAATTTCTGGGATCTAAACTGCTTGAAACTCAATCCTAGAGTCACCTTTGAATGTCACATACAGCAATATATCTACATTTACATGGAAAAGCAAAGGAAATACTGTGCCAGGGCCTGACAGAAAGTATTGTATTTCACTTCCTGCTCCTTGGCACCTTCTGAAGGAAAGTAGGGCTTACCTCCTGTTATGTAGCAGGAGCCAGGACCTTCTGGTCGTCACTATATAACTTCACCCAGGAGTGGTTGGTGTCTAGGAAGCCACATGTCCTCTGAAGAAAGGATTGCACTTGAAAAAGTATTGCTTCAAAATTGATTTCTTTCCATTGTGACAACCGAATTTTGCATTATCCTTTGAATTGCCCCAAGTGCATCGTGTTTTCTCCGGGGGAGGGGTCTGCTGCTCTTGTTCTTGTGGCTGCTGTATTGTTGGGTTCCTTCCTTCTTTTCCTTCTTCGGGGACTGTGTGGGGAGCGGGTGGGGGGATGGGAGGGCCGTGGCGAACCCTTCCCTTGTGCAGGGCATCCATCCGTGTTGTGAACCCAGAGCTGGGGCCAAAGCTGCTTTTGTATTCAGTGTGAGGTGGTGTTTACAGCCGACTTTGACATCAGTGGATGTGTTCTCAGTGGTGTGTCTGTACCTGAACTATTTAATGTTGTGTCATGTTTATATAAAGAATATTTATGCATACTTCACCATGTGTTTATTTAGTGTTGATAAATATGGCTCCCTCTACCGGGCCCTTTGATGTTGAGTCTTTAAGGCCCATGTAAATCATGAGTAGATGTCCACTAAGCTTTTCCATGTGGCGAAGAAGAAGAAAATCATCACCTGGTTGACATTCAAGAGCACCTGACTCCTTCCAGGTAATAAGCCCTGTCACTGAAAGTCGCTCTTTAATTAACCTGACGTGACCCAACAATATAACAGAGGGCCAGCAAGCCTCCTCCATTGTATCTGGAACCACACTGCAAGGGAGAAAAAGAAAATCCACATCATCATAAGGATTTTCTTTTCATTTTTTGGCCCTCATTCAAGCAAAGAACAAGAAAAAGCAGAGACTATTTTCTCACATGTGTAGTGGTGTGCAGAAGGCATGTTCTCCACCTGAGAAATATCTGGTAAGCTATTGCAACTATACTTTATTACTCAAGTTGGCCTGGCACTAATAAATATGTGAATTCTCGTTCAAGTCTCCCTGTAGATCAGTAATCCCAATCTTTCTGGAAATTCCCATTCTGCCGCTTTCCCCAAAGGGCTCTTCCTTGTATTAAAAGCATAATAGTAATAAGAGTAGAGAAGCCCTTAGAATGGTCAGAAATTCAAGGGTAAATTAGGATTCTACTTAAACATCAGTATCTCCAGATTCTTGTCCAAGATCCCAATATTTACAAAAAGCAATAGTAGTAATAAGGCTCTAACTCTCCTTTTAGGTACTGGGTTCATTATGGTGGATAAGCCTCTTATGGGCAAAAGCAGCTTCTAATCTCTGTTGGCTGTTTATGGAAAGGTATGTCCAAGTCTTGGACAATTTTTAGAGAAGAAAAACAAACAAACCGGATTCTTTTGAAATGAAGAGCTGAGAAACTTAACGGAGAATGCCGTTGAGTTTTTGTAACTGCATGTGTTACATGGGCATTTCTCAAAAGGACTCCTCCAAGAGCAGGCATCCAGCATGCACTGAAGATCCAACTCCTTATCCCTGGCCTTGGAATAGAACTACTCCATGCACTAAGAATGAGGTTGGCAGAGCTCTCAGGGTTATCTGCTTTAACTGAAAGAGGAAAATAACCGAAACTAAAGTAAGCCACATAGGGCGACATTGAGAGGAGAGCCTAGCCTCTCCCTCCCTCTCCCCTTCCTCTCTCCCTCTCCCCGTCACCCACTCTCCATATCTGTCTCTTTCTATGTGTGCATATATGACTCTCTCCTCTTTATCTGACTCTGTGACTCTCTTTATCTCCCTCTTTTTTGTCTCTTTATGTCACTGTCTCTCTAGTTTCCTGTGTCTCTGTTTTTTCTCTGTCTTTCTCTGTCTCTCTGTATCTTTCTATCTTTGTCTCATGCTCACTTATTCACATACCCCATGCTTGTACAGGCATGTGTGTGCACGTGCACACACACACACACACACACACACACACACACACACACACACACACTGTTCTTCAGGCCTATTTCCCCTAGCTTCAGTCTTTATCTCTTGTCATATGGTCTCACTGTTCTTACTCACTATTATTCTGAACCCCTTCTAACCCCAAACCCACCCCAGACTCTCTGTACAAGTCCCATTTTTAGTCACCTTTTAATATATATTACATTGAGACTCTAAGAGAAAGAAAAAACTCATAAGCATAGGACAAGGGACTGACTAAAGATCTAGAAGGCACATCAGCTTCCTTTTCTAAAATTCCCATATTGGAGTGGATAGACCTTGCTGCTCTACAAAGGAAACCTGTGCTCTGTGCAGCAGGTGGGAGGGGAACTTAAGACCAGCTGAAGAGGTGACTGGCCTGGGAGGTAAATGGGATTTCCAAGCCAGTAGCAAAGACTGGCACACCCCAGAGTGATAGGGAAGAGGGACCTAGGGTAAGACAGGGATTCTGGACTTCCCCGAATGCAAATGATTCAAAGATGAGGACGTTGGGCTCAGTTGGTAGACGATTGTTTGGCATAAACAAAGCCCTGGGTCTAATATCCAGCTTTGCATAAATCAGGTATGTTAATAGATGCCTGTGATCCCAGCCCTCAGGAGACTGAACCAGGAGGATCAGAGGTCCAAGGTCATCTTCTGCTACATGCAGAATTCAAGGCCAGTCAAAGATATATTAGACTCTGCCTCAAGATGAACAAAATAGAAAAGATGAGGACATATCATCAGGAAGTTAGACAGCTTACCTTTGGCCAATTCTAAGGACAAATAAAAGCAGGACAGTTTAGTGGATGAGAAACCCTGAGTCCTGCATCTGATTCTATCATCTCCAGTCACGTGTCTTCAACACACCTGTCAATTAATGCAAACTCTCTGGATTCCCTCCCAAGACTTAAACTAACACCTCTAGGTCACCTTCTGGTGTCAAACAGTCAAATTAAGGAGCAATGTGAACATCTATGGTGATGAACATACCCAGTAAACCACTGAACATTACAGGCTTTAAATACCCATGAAGTTCTTTGCTCTGATACTTCAATACAACTGAACCTGAAGAACTCTTATTGTTTTGCATTTATTTGTGTGTGTGTGTGTGTGTGTGTGTGTGTGTGTGGGTGTGTGTGTGTGGGTGTGTGGGTGTGGGTGTGTTACAGCATGCATATGGAGGTGAGAAGACAACATAGAGGAGCCCATTCTCTCCTTCCATCTTGTCAGTTCCAGGGATCACTCAAGTCATCATGCTTGGTGGTAAATGTCTTTACCCACTGAGCCACCTCACTGGCCAGAATCAAAAGAACTACTGAGGTTTGTTGGAAGACCAGAAACCCCATTATTTCAAACACCACTCTCGCCGTGAACACACTCACGTTAGCTCAGCCAGCCTCACAGCATCCCCAGGTAGCAGGAGTTGGTTTGGAGTTTGTGGTGTTATTTCTCATTCCACGACTAAAATTGTGCAGATATAACCATCAAAAGAGTTCCCTTTTTAAAAGTTGAGATTACCCTTTCCTCAACCTGAATTGGGCTTTTTCTGTCACTTGCCCTGAAAGAATATTTTTCTACAATGCAAGATGAAGCAAGCCTGTCTAAACAATATCAGTTCCAGCTCATCCAAGGTTCAAAGGCAACTATACCACTACTCTAGGGAATTAAGTCACACCTTCTATTGTTCTCCAGCCTCTCAATAGCCTCTAAGGACTGAGGGGATGGCTCAGTGAGCAGTGCTTGCCTTGGAAGCACCATGACCTGAGTTGGAGCCCTAGCCCAAGGCAGGCATGTTGTAGTCGAGGCAGGAAGATTCCCTGGGGCTTGCTAGCCTCGGTCGTGCCCAATTGGTGAACTCTAGGCCAGTGAGAAATGCTGTCTCAAACAAGGTGGACAGAGTTCCTGAGCATGATATCTGAGGTTGTCCTCTAGCCTCATATACAGACACACATACTTGCAATGCACCTACACATACATGCATGAAAAAAATAAATGGGGCTGGAGAGATTGCTCAATGGTTAGAGAAAGCAGACTGGGATGGTAGAGGCAGGAGGGTCAGAAGTCCAAGGTCTGCCAGGGATTTGCTGCCAAGCCTGACAACTTAACTCAAGTGATGGAAGGAGATAACCAACTCCCACAAGTTGTCCTCTGACCTCCACATGTGTGGCAAGGCATGTGGGTATACACACACACACTCACCAAATGAATATGTACTTTTGTTTTGTTTTGTTTTTTTGTTTTTTGAGATGGGTTTCTTTGTGTAGCCCTGGCTCTCCTAGAACTAGCTCTGTAGACCAAACTGACCTCAAACTCACAAAGCTCCATCTGCCTCTGCCTCCTGAGTGCTGGGATTAAAGGTATGCCCAGCTTGTGCTTTCAAGTTTTTTAAACAAAAACAAGTTCAAGATTATCCTCAGCCACATAGGGAGTTCAAAACCAACCTAGAATACATGAGATCCTTTCTCAAAAAAGAGAACAATGAAGTGGCAAGAGTGGGGGAGAAAGAAAGGTCTCTTCCCCCTTTATCCTTTCAGGATTCTAAAATGAGGTTAAAACTTTAAAGTACTTCAGAGCTAGAGTAACCCTGAATAGAATATCAGAGAGTTTTGAGTTAGAAGAGTGTCTTTATTCTCCAGCCAAATGTGTACTCAAATCTTCTGTGGCAGCTGCTCTCAACCTGTGGGTCGCACATCAGATATCTACACCATGATTCACAACAGTAGCAAAACTACGCTTATCAAGTAGCAACAAAAATAACTTTATGGTAGGGGTCACCACAACCTGAGGAGCTGTGTTAAAGGCCACAGCATTAGGGAGGTTGAGAACCACTACTCTATGGCTTCTGTGACACCTGACCACCCCAAAATCTGCATATATAATTCCAGTGGCAAGAAATTCATTTTAGGCAATTTCGTTGTTTGTCCACAAGTTCTAGCCTTCCGGGGCATGAGTCTTCTTCACTCCACACTAGCATGTGAATATCCCCAGGGAATGAACCAGGCCTTTAGAGAGAGCATTAGAAGATGATTCAACAGTTCAAGAAATTCCTTTTCCAGACCCTCAGTGGCCAAAGGTCCTCTGTCCCAAGTTAGCCTGCTTGGAAAAAAAATCATTCCTCCCTCATTTGCATTTCTATTTTTTATGACCTATCTTTATCTGGACAAGAAATAAATAAATTGTTCCAAAATGCCTGTTTCCTGAGATAATAACCAATGGCCAAAGATCAAAAGACCTTCTGTAAGACATGTGGCCGTGGGGATGATTGAATGGGTAAAGTGCTTACTATGCAGGCACGAGGACCTGAGTTCGGATCCCCAGAGTCTGCATAACGCTGCATGCCATAGTGTGTATCTGTTAACCCATCACTCCCGTGGAGAAATGGGAGGGCAGGACAGGAGACTCTCCAGAAGCTCCTGGTGGACACAGCAGCAAACAAAAAGACCTGTCTGAAGTCAGGTAGAAGGTGAGGACGGGGGCTTTGTCTTTGGGCTCCACTCACATTCTGTGGTCCATGGGCATGTGCAGTCTTACACATACATGCAAACACATATATTATTC